GAACTGAGGATCGAATCAAAGGAGAATCGAATTCAATCTCGAAACACACTTGGGTAAACGAGGTGCTGCTAGGAGATCGTTTCGGAACAGGAAGTTTAGTGGACCGGATTTCCTGGTTGTATCGATGGAACGCCGAAATCTGCCGGCGGGCAACGACGGTATCGCCATGCGAACCGCTGGAATTGGCGTACTCCCACCGGACATAAATTTCAATCAACGGCATCGACGACGCTGGCTAACGTCGACGGCAGTTCGAAGGGAGTCCGGAATACAATCCCGTTCTCGTCGAAGGCGTCGCTCTCGCATACTTTGCCCAGGATAGATATTTATTGCTACCTGATCGAAGGTACACTGATTGGTTCTCGTTGCTCGCTCGTCTCCGTGCGTTACACGCCGCACGGAAACGTAAATTTCGCGGCGATGGTAGAGCCGCTGATTGGTTTCGAAGCCACCGAAATTTGCATTAAACGAAACGTCGTTCGATGTTATGGCTGATCGATAATGTCGATCCGTGTGATTTATCGTCAATCCTTGATTATTCGCCGCTTGAACGATGAACCTCGATTCTAGCCTCATCCTCTCGAGGAACGAATTCTGAATTTATTGTATACGACTTGTTTCATTAATCTTTGCTTACTGGTTCAAATATATCCGTTATAGAAAAATGACACTGACTGAGTGACAGAAAATGACATGTAACACCACGACGCTAAATAATATTGGATTTCGTGTCGCGAAGACAACCTTATGCATAAAACATCGTAACACCAAATTCTGAATTAAACTTTTCGACTGACGGAGTAACATCAATCTTGTGGTTAAAAACAGAAATATTCTTCTAACTAGAGTACTTCTGTTCTGTTCCATTTCTATTTCTATTTACATTTGTCTTCCACTTTATCGATAGAAATGTATTTTTATCCGACACACGTTCAACGTGATACTGTAGAGATTCGACGAGATTATTCGACCTACTTCGAATTTCTCACTACCGACTAAATCAATTTCCCCTTTCTATATTTTTAATCAATCTCCGATGATTCTATCTGGAAAGGTCGCTTCTTTCCCGCGACACACTTTTGTATTCAATCTTCCCCAACATTGAAAATTGCTCTATCAATCTTGTTAACGAAAAAGAGAATAATAATTGTAACCGATATCCCTTGTCACGTGTTTCCACGTTCGAGCATTTAACAAAATCGAAGACAGGATTTTGCTGCACCGAACGTAAATCCAATTTGTTCGACGTCAGGTTGTTTCGCGAAGGCATTTTTCCGGATTCAAGATAGAGATCTGACCAACGCGAGCAAGAACGACGCCGTCGTACCCTCGTCGAGCAAAAATTGCTTCATTAAGCTCACCTTACGGCTCGTTCCCGAGACGTTTTGTTTGCCGAGTGCCGCGAGAACCCCGTTCGATCGTGTAACAATCGTAGCAGGAGACTGACGTCTCTTGGCAATCGAACTTCAACAGCCTGTTTATTCTCAGGAAACGAAGTCGTCGCGTTGAAATTTCCCCCTTCATCGGCAGCTGTAATTAACTTCACGCTTGAAAGGTAATATAACCGAGCACTTTACGTAAACTCGGTAACCGATCGATATAGAACGAAAGTTAGCCGAGAGCAGTGGGAACGAAACGCGAGTGTAATTTATCAAAAAGCAAACACCTAGATTCGCGTCGTCGAGTTTCCCGCGATCACGCATGAAACCGAATTTCATCCTGTTTGCCTTGCAGCTTCCTCGGTCACGCTTATTGTCGTAACATCCGTTCCCGCGGTTCCGAAACTTCCTGGAACAGGAACGGCCCGAGGAGGTTTGCAATTAGTAAATTCACCGGGTCGAATACATCTGACCGGGTAATAAAAGAAGAAGACCGCGTGTCTCGTTAAGGTAACAGGGCTGGCCGGAAGTTTGATTAGTCGGTAGTCGGTGCGGCCAGAATATTAGCGAACTTAGCCGAGAACTTGTTCATTAATGGATCGAACGGAGAGAGTTGGACGCCTTGGTAAATCCACGTTGTAATCTGACGGTTAGATCGGGTCGGCAATTGGAACTGCCAGCAACAGCCCAACAGTTCCAAGCTATCGCCGCGGTTTTAGAAGGGTCCCGGGTGCAACTAATACAGCTGTTTGTAATTAGTTGTGTCGCGCTCGATAGTACACCGCCTTGTGGCTGATTTGCTGCTGGTCATGCTAATTTTATTGCCCTACCAGCGTCCTTCTATCGCGCTACGGGTCCGTTTCTATGGCTACGTATCCCCGCGAACCACGCCGCTGTATATCCGGTCTCGCTGGGAAATTGATGATGATAGAAGAGGGGAAACTTCGCGAGGCGGAAATTAGCGACTCGAAACGCAGAAGCTTCTCTCGATTAACGCCTCCGCCAATGTTGGTTTTCCAACTTGGCGAAAACAAGCACCGAAGTACAGTGGTTGTTTGACTACTTTTTAAACCGCGGTTAAAGAAAATTCCACTTACCTTTTAGCCCTTCGCCGCACGACTGTTGTTGAATAAATGCTGCAAAACATACTTGAGAAACATTCGGGATCTGGTGTCTTTTTCCTTTCGTTTATGACAAAAGCAACGTAGTACTAGATTCGGAGAGGATCATCTTCTTGTGGACGGCACAGGAATCAAGGGAATGACAGTAGGAGACGTGCTCTATAATAGAAATAAACATTGTTTAGAAAAACATTTACATATTTATATATATAAAATATAATACAATTTGTTACAGTGTAGATGATAGTGTAGCGTTTAGACGTTAATATCCAGTGTAAATTAGGTATAAATCTAAGAGCAGTATGGAAGGACAAGGGCGCCCGGTACGCGTACGATCCGTGGAGGCGCGCGGGTCCTCGCGGTTGGTCCGCGCGCCCCTACACTCGCGGGGTACACAGATTCAACGTTGTGTTACATGTAAATTATAAAGATACAAGATACTATTTAGCTAGCTACCTGAATTCGAGTGAGTAGGTGCCTATGAAGAGTCCGGGAGGTAATTTAAATCTAAAAACTATATACAGGGTTAACTATGTACACGCACACGCTAGTCGCTCGATTCCTTTTTATCCATTCGCTTGCACGATCGACGTGTTTCTACCATTTCATTGTTACATGGTATTTCACGGGCATCGTTCCCGACGTTCACTAATCTTTATTCTACATACAGTACATACAATCCCGATCTCCTGGCACCGTTCGTGTTTTCGTCGAACGCAACACCCTTCATTCACGCTTACCCGTCATCGAATTTCCGTCGTAATATCGATTTCGCTGTCTCTCGAATAGCCACGGACACGCGTCATTGAATAGCCTCGATTCGATCGAGAGATCGATCAACATTTCGTCGGTATCGACGCCGCCGTTCTGCCTCGAGGCTCTCGATTCTCAGGTACCGCACGCTTCGTTCGTTTGCTCGCACGTAACTCGGACGTTGTATCGATACGATACCTCGCGAAAGGCATCGAAACGTACGGAAAGTCGTTCAACCGATCTCTAATCGTTCCTCGTTATCGAAAGCCCGATGGGTGCCAGGAGTTTCCGGCGAGACAACGAACCAGCTAACGTACACACGATGCAAGATCATTGGAGTATAAATTGCGTAATATCGTTCCCTATGTATCTAACATAATTATTCCAGCATAAATGACATTTACTTGTGACACTTTGCTTGATTGTTCTGGTCATATCACCGGCAGTTCGAATCCACCCCTAAAGCCACCCCTTTACAGCCCGCAGCACCCTGTCGCAACCTCAGGTTGACATCGGCGTCAACGAACGAGCGTCGCGTCACGTCGTAACTGAAATCAGCGTCGACATCGCAGCGCGGAAGAAGTTACGGTACACGACTTCCTGTTTGCCTCTCTCGCACGGCCGATTCTAACGAGTTCCTTCGCCGATGATAAATCATCGCTTATCCCGTGACGGATCGTACGTTACGTACAACACGCGGCGAAGAAATTCGAGGGAAAGAAAGCAGCGGTTCTCGTTCGAGCGTTTCTCGAATCGTTCCTCCTCTTGTTTCTGTTTTTCCACGCTTCAGAGCCGTCGCGTCGGTCGGGTCGGTTGCTTCATCGCTCATCGCGCGTATCATCGTCGACGAGATACAACTCTCGGACAAAAATTTCTTCTTTCCTGTCTCCTTTATGTGTATACGTCTGTTCTTGTTAATTTACTTTTCTTTTTGCTTTGCGTATGCGTGAACGTGTCTTTTGCGCTGACTCGATGGTTCCATGTACCTCTATGCATGTATGCAGCTCGAGATGAACGAAAAGAAAAAAAAAGAATGGACAAACGTAACGAAAAATGGGTAATCGCGTATCGGAACGATCGATTATTAACGAAGCGACGATTGGCAGTATCGCGGCATTAACTCGACTCGACAAGTACGGATGATGATCGGAAAAGGGAACGGATCTTCCAGCGTCTAAAATATAGCTTTTTCTCCTCGAGGTAACAGAGTATCGCTCGACTGCCCTACGATCTCTACACACACACACACACAGATCCCCTATTAGAGACATTTACGAATTTACCGTAGTATTAAATTGTAAAACGTTGCTACGCGTTATTGTTTACCGATTAGTCGACTACTTTTTTAGTGAGATTTTATTTCTACGCTAGGGAGAGAGAGCATTTTAATCATCGACAGTCGGTCGTCGTTAGCCGAGCAACGGTGTTTTTTCTTCGCTTTCTAAACATCGAACAGGAGAACGCGATCGAACGGAATGGCGTGGATTTTAATTGACGACCGAGAAGGGAAAAAGTAAAACGTACATGCAAATCGAAACGCGTACTCCTTCTTCTTCTCCCTCCCCCTCTCCCGTGAAATTTCGATAAGACGCTCGTTTGCAAGGCTCTCTTCGATTCTCGTCTCTTTGTCCACGAAAGCTGCATTTTCCTCGATGCTAATGGAATTCAGGAAAAGTGTGCGCGTTAGGGGACTCTTGACTACAACGTGCCTCTATCGATCGCGGTGCTCTGGCGTAAGTCCTCATCGTTGCACGCCATCATGCATATAATTTTTTTTTTTCTTCCTTCTTCTCTTTTCTTATTTCCTACTCCAATCATTCAACCCCTCACTCACTCACTCGCTCGCTCTCTCTTTCTCTCGTTCTCTTTTTTTCAATAATTAAAGTGGTGCTTCGAAGACTTAACCGAATGCACGGAGTGTCGAGCGCGGATAAATTAACGCGAGTCAAGAATGGAATCAAATTAAACCGGGCATCGCGAGTTTCAATTATCGAATTCGGTTTAATTAAAAGCGCGAGAGAAGAAAGAACGTCGAATAAATTACTCGCGGATCGCTCTTATTCCCCGAGCGAACAGGTGAGAGAAACAGTGTACCGGGGGAAAATAGCTTTAAAAATTTCAGTCGATCTAACGGGAAACAATAACCGATCCGTGGATCGCTTTCAGATTCGTGAAAAGAGTACGTGGTTTATCGCTTATTCCCTTCATTGATTCCAACCGTGAAAAAACACGTTCGAACAATCCCTTTCCATTACATTACGATGCTTCGAAGGATACGAATAGATAACGATCGATTGATAACGATTACATTCAACGGACCTAAGAAGCACCCCTTTAAATCGGTACGCGTCGAAACGGAAGCACGTATATCTTTTGCAGGTAGGATGGATCGCGTATAAATCGATGGAATCGCGGCTGGTTGTGTCGACGAGCGTCGCAACGACAAGTGTCCCCCGTAGTAAGCGGCGAAGCATGCATCAAGAAACCGAACGTGCACTTCGCGAACGTGACTCGCGCGAAACGTAAAGCGGCCTTACTCGCCTATCTTGACGAGACGAACGTACTGTGTCGACGCGGCAAGTAAATTCGCTCTCTGTACAATTAAATAAAAAAATAAATAAACGTCGACCGTGGCCGACGCGGCACGGCCGCACGAACAACGCGTTACACTTAATAAACTGTACAGAATATTACAAAGGACCGTCCTGGTTGCTCGCATACAAACATTGGTCGAGTGACACGGCGAAGCTGAAAATGGGTAGCTTGGCCTCGCGTGCGAATCAACCAACGTTTATATGCTCTTCTCGTTAAAAAACGCATCTATTCGTAGCTCTAATAATAACAGAATATACAAATACCGGCGGAAAGTGAGCGAGACGCGTTCCAACAGCTCGATCGACACGAACAACTGTGTATTTTGGATGAGATTACACTTATAAAGTCGAAAAATCGGAATCTTTTATTATACTTTTACTTTTGAAGAAAAACGATGGAACGCGTTCGATGCGCTCAATTTTCAGCCTGCTAAATAAACAGCCAACAATATAAATTCTTTCGAGTCCAGAAGCTTGAAAATAATTTCGCCCGATCGACAGGACCTAGTTTCATTTCCCGTGGATATCTTTCGTTCGGGGTTTGTTAATTATTAAAAGAGAAGGAGCACCAAAGAACTTTGTCGTTCTTTTCAGCTGAAAATGTCAAGTGAGTTCGAAATAAGACTAGAAGGTTGCGTAGCGATCTAATTAACCCGAAGAACGCAATACCCGACGTCCTCGAAACCGAAAGATATCCAAGGTGAGTCCTGCGCGAGCACGCGATACATCGTAACAATAGTACACGGGCAGAGATCGCGAAAAAAGAGATGTTCTCGATCCTTGAATGAGGACAGCGTAGATCCGAATTCCCTCGAATGGACGCTCCTTATCGAGAAAATATATTTGGCAGTTCTCTGCGCGACCCATCGTCGCCTGAGAGTTTCATTCGTTCTACGCAACCCATCAAAAATATGTCTCTCTCCCAGGACGCTCGCGTTCCACCCATCACCCGTCGATAATACGGCGGTTAAAAATTGCACAACGATCGTTCGGTAACTGAACGGAAGTCCGGCATCTATTTCTGTCCTCTCTCAACGATCAATGAAAATACGACGATTGTTATTTAGCCTAAGTGACGCGTCATAGGGTACACACGGGACAAGTATGTACTTACATGCGTCTGCTCCCCGGATCCAGCGCGACCAACAACAGGATAAATCGGCCGTCCTAGATAACTGGAATCGATCGATCGACAGATCGATCGGCCTCCTAACGACCAGCCAGCGTTCACCTGAACGCGCCGCCGACTATTGCCAGCAGTATCCCAAGAATCAGAAGCACCGCTGGCGATCTGGTCGAGGAACTTCCGCCGGTTGGTCCGTCACTGCTGCGGGACACTTTGCTACGCACCAATTGTCCGCGTTCCACCGCGTTCGTCTCGTCACTGTCAGGATCGACCGGTGTGCCAATGTCTTCGTCCTCGCCCAGCAACATCGACAACTTGTTCCTCGACGGTTTCTTCAGGCAAGGCAAAGTGACCTCTTTGTACGGCCTCAGGATCCTCGGATAACGGACCTCCAGGATGTCAGTGCCCTGCAACGCTCCCTCGCTGGTCCAACAAAGCGGTTTGAACGTACCTGTTCGAGTAGCGTCTTGGAAACTCTTGAAACTGGTCTTCCAGTCGTAGCTCACTAGACGCTCCTCCAACGTCATACCGCTCAGCTCGGCCGGTTCTTGAATTTCCACTGGGCTGGAACCCCTGCGACGACAAACGCGATACGTCAAGGCTTTCGTACGTTTCTTACGGCGAATCGGTGAAATTTCAAATGCAAGAGATCCGAGCTCTCGTGACGAACGGTCGTTGCAAGGGAACAAAGTATGTCGCGAACTCTTTGTGCGTCTGCCTCCTCGGATATTGAATTTTTCTCGACCGAAAGATATTGATGAGCGAGTTATCGAAACGATCATCCTAATTAGCGTAAAATTGGCGTATCGCGAGTGAACCGGTACAACAGAGCTTCGAAACAAATTGATCGCGTATGCTCGTCTGGTTGGTAAACGCGGCCGTTTTGCAGCGATGTCACGCAAAGATGACAATGATCTCTGGCCGAGTTAACGACCCAACTAACCAACGACCTGCCGATATTAGTAGCAGTAATAACAGTAATTTAGCCATGGTATTCAATGTGGCTGGAGTGTGTTTAGCGAAACAGGACGTTCGTTACATTAAAGTTCGTGACACGTTGCAGGAAGCGTCTTCGTGACACACGTAACGTAACATTACGTAATGCAACGAACGATGCGATGCGTCTGTCTGATGCAATATAACCGGTGCTCGTTGAACTAACGACAGGTCGTGCGGTCGTGACGCACGGCCCATCACCGTTCCTAATTGCCAATTTAAAGTAATCAGAGTAAAAGGAGCAAACGTCTGGTCAACGCTTTGTGTATATAGAGACGCGTTCGTCATTAGCCTGACATCAACTATGCGGTGTAAATTAATATCAAACGGTCTTTGAACTCGAAACAAAAATAAAACGTAAACGTAGAAGAGCATCGTGATATCCCGATCGATCACGGGGGAACAAAGTCTCGTTTCGCGAATGAAATATATATATATGAAAACATGTCGAAGGGTACTCACTGTATCAGCTTTTGGACTCCTAAACTTTGTAGAACCGTTGGCAACGAGGGCAGAGAGTAGCAGACTGACAGTTCGATGCGTGGATAATAAAGAGTGGACACCAAGCATGTTTCTTCCCTGGTGGTTAGACCACCGAGCGTGATTGCTTCACGAGACTCGGACGAGTATGTGCACTCCGCTACCAGATGATCGCCCTGCAACATAATCATGGATCTCTACGATTAGCTTATTTCTACGATGACTCGAAAAATTATCATTAAGAGCAATTTCTCAAGATTTTAATAAGCGTGCAAATTTATTTATATCACAGTAAATCGCTTCAGTTCAATTAGAGATATTTTTCTCGACTATTTATCACAACTAAACATAAGCTACATAATCTATTAATCGCCAATTCTACTTTAGTCCAACGCTAGCTCCATTTATAATGCATTTTTGAATACTCCTTGCACAGAAAATGTCTATCTCATAATAATGTCACAACACTATCTGCGCGTTTTCTATCTCTTCATTTAGAACCTGTATTACCTATGTACATACACAAGGGCTATGCCCGTATATTTTGAAATAAATAAATAAATAAATCTGTAATCACCTGACCGCTTAAGGATTGTTAGAGGCCAGGGGTTGAGAAAAAAGACAAAATAGAAGAGCTTTATAATTTAATAGTCACCTTATACGAGATACGCCGAACAGAATAGAAAAACGCATGAACGTCAGCGACAATAATCGCCACTAGCTTCATGTCTATGGGAATAAAGCGGAACGCGCTTGCGCAGACGATACAACAGAAACGCGCTTGCGCAGACGATCCAACAGAAATGCGCTTGCGCAGACGATACAACAGAAACGCGCCAAGAATGTACACATAATTACATATGATATCAAGAAGGATTAAATGATCATGGAACAAAGCATACGACGCGTCGCGTCGTGACATTGAAATCACGAACAACACTTACCGGATAGACCCTGACGGGCTTCTGCAGCTTCCGATACTCCTGATAACTAGGATTGTAATTGGTGTCAGATGCAATGGGTGGCAGTTCCTCGCCGGACCTTATCTGACGCAATCGGACCTTCCTGCCGAGTTGATGAGTATGCATGATGACGGCGAATATGTTGATGCCGTTGTTGGGAATGGTCTGTCCGGTACAGTCGGAGATGCAATGACCTTCGGAGACCACTTCAGGCTGCCCGGGTGGTATGATGTGCCTCCAGTTCGGGTCGATGCCGACGCTAAGGATACCTGCGTCGTGGGTACGCAACCGATCCGTATAATGCAAACGCAAGCCGGAACTGTCGCTGATGAACGTGTCCATCTGCGAATTCGTGTACAACGTTTCCAGCATGTAGAAATGAGGACCCGAGCGTGGGTCGAGTGCGTAACCAGCCTCCGGCGGGTAATTGAAGCCCTGCGAGCAAAACAAGGAACCTTGCGATTAGACCGTACCTTGGACCCAGAGAAGCGAATTTCAAGAGCGAATTGAGAACACGTCGAAATGGAACTGTTGGAATAACTAATAAAAGATACTTAGAACATGATTTCTTTGGTATTCTATTATATATTACCATGATCCATATTCTCTGGCTTCGTCTAAAAGCTTCCTTCGCAAAACGATTCAAGCGTAATTGCACGCATAAATCATGTTTGAGATATAATCACGATTTTAATCAGTTACGGGGGATAATTACACCGGGATAAATCACTGTCCATGAATGTTAATCTGACGTGGTCGCGAGACGAGCGTAAGAGACACAAGCTGGGAACGCGAGTCGGTATCGCGGTAATTCTGGGCTTTGTGTAATGCATACCAATGGGGAGCAAGTAAACTCGTTTCTTCGTGGTCGCTGGAAACGCGAGCAACCCGTGAGGATCCGTTGGACAACCGGTAATTTTACACGCGACATCCCGACGCGATTTAATTGCTCCAACCGCGAGTGTTCCCTCGACGATGTATTAAAATCACGTAAAAAAAATTTCACATGAAATTAACTTTCCTGGTTATAAATGGAATATGTTTCAAAATCGTGCGTGAAAGATAAATGAAAACTTTGTATGTACAGCATGCAGTAACGAGTTAAGCGTTCGTTCGCCGCGAGAATTGATCAGGCAAAATTTTAATTAATCCCTCGGGTGATCAACTGAACGAACAGAGGACGAATTTAATTTTCCGCTCTGCTTAGACGAAAATTTACACGATTCGCGGCGCGCTGGGACAGGAACTTGTTTAATTCGTCGTTTTACATTGAAACACGTCACGTAGCATACCTCGGAACCGAGACTCCAGATAGCCGCGATTGTGGTGCACTGAAGGGACGGCTGATTGGACTGATAGCAAACGCTGCCGGACGACTTCGAGGCGGATTCCAATTGCGCCTGATCCCCGCGACACTCGTACAAAGTCATGTGATGCAGGTACTTCTGACTTCCGGGTTGTATCACCGGCTCGTACTGGAAAAGAAAGAGAAGAAAACTTGTTACAACAGCTGTCACTTGTCAAGAAGCGGTACGAGCGACTCATCGCACTTGTAAGAGGACTTAATTCGTTCTGTATTGACGTTCCTTTCAGCACCGATGAAAGTAACTTTGATAAATCGACGATCTTTTAACGAATCGATGGATCGTTGAATGCAGAAGACGAGGATCGTACGTAAAGAATTTTAAACAAGCTACGACCATTGATTAAATTAACAGATGAAGATTAGAAAGACAGATGTTCTTACATCCTCGTTAGAGAAGAATGGCAATGTAATCGGAATAATCTTGAAAGGTTGCTGATTCGATTTCAGATATTATTATATTCATTTTTTAGAACATCCAGGTAATATTAGCACGAATCACACATTGTCCAATTTTACATTTCTTATCGACCAATCGATTGAGTATACCAATATCGCAAAGTAATTTCCCGATTCCACAGCATCACGGTTTGAAATAGAAGCAATCTATATAATTAATCAAGGTGAATGATGCTTCGTTCGAATGATTCGAAAATAAATTCGAATCGATGTTTATCAGAGAAACAAATCAAATGGCTCGTTAAACGATTATAATATAATTAGTCAGGAGGTTAGGTGTAAACCGAGTCAGGAAACGACTGTTCTGAATCCTTGAGAGAATCCCGCGAGGATTTCCACTCGGAAAACTAGGATCCGCGGTGCTTCACTGCTCCCATGCCGAGGAAAATCTACACCTACGCTCCCGGTTTAATCAAGTTTAGCTTAGCTGAATGCGTAAGACGCGGCGCGGGGCACGGCGAGTAAGTAGGTTATATAGTTAAGGGAACTCACCTTCACGACGTGATGCTTCTGATCAATGTTTGGCATCTGGAGAACGCGACACCAAAGCAACGTGTCCTGTTTCTCTGGTAAACGTACCTAGAAGATAATTCAAACATTATGGTTATTTAAACGCGGAGAAATTCTCGTACACTTTCAATATACATGTATAAATGAAATTTTATTTGCAATAAAAAATGGTTTAAAGTCAATGTTTTTGTTTTCAATTGTTCTATGAAAATTTTCATTGTCTACCTATTTTGGAAGGAAAACACAGGCGAAAAGAGAAGGCAGTCATTTTTTCGAACAACGAAACGAAGGGGAGAAAGGAGATTGAACGGAGGGTGAATGGACGCTGTTGGTCGTACACGCACGAGTAAATGCTTTCTCAAAACTTGCCAAATGTTAACGCTCGTTACGTAGAGAGCCGGCATACAACGCGACTGGAAACTCATCCGACTCTGCACGAAAGTGGCTGAAATCCGTCTATACCCGCTAATGGAGTAACGTGGTATTTAGCGAGGTACACGCCACTCGTTGTTACCCTCCAAACTGTTTTTCTAATTTCACCTGTCTTCCTGCGCGAGTTTCCGGAACAATTCACGCGACAAGGTTAATTCACCGAACGATAGTTTCAAACTACCGTCACAATTCTACATCTCTTTCTCTCAATTTCTGTTTTCCAATAAAAATATTTTCGAAATATCTGTAGCGTAAGCAAAGGGACCATCAGCGAACGCGTTATTAATTTCAATCTATCTATGAAACTGGTTGATACAGAATTCCTCGTAAAGGGATGATTAATATCAGGCAAGCAGAGAACGAAATAAACGCAAACAAATTGAATTTAATATCGCGCTCAGAGATGCAGCCCGACCGACCGTTCAGGTAATATTACCTACCTGTATCATCGGAATACACAACTTGTGTACGACGTATTTACGTATCTCATTTCAAGCTTTTCGATTATGCTCTTTCATCGTTAGCTAACAAATCGGTGAAAATATGTTCATAACGAATAGAATTTCCTACCAATCAATTTGTTGCTAAATCGTACACGAAACGATTTGACCACCGCGCAAAAGGTACACGTCAAGAAAACAATATAATCTACGATATTTCGATATTTCATCGTTCCATGGAATACGAGGGTCGATTTAAAAATATCCTTCTCTTCTGTTGCCGCAATCACGAGGGTTTTAACGATCGAATAAAAGTCCTTCGAGCATCGATCGAAAGTCCCGTTTATCCTGACGTTGAAGAAGATCTTGTCGAATATAAAAAAAGAAAATAGGAAGAAGAAATTCATGGGGTGAGGAAGTGAAGAAGGAAAGGAAGGAGTAAAAGAGAGAAAAAGATGGTTGGTTCGTGTTGCAGCCGCGGGGTGTACGGAGCCGCGATGATCCCGAGAAAATTGCAATTCTTTTTTCGCGGTCTCGTGTTCCCCGACAGCGCCCTAAGCTCGGCCAGGTCGCCGCCGGATTCTCCCACGCGCTTCTGCGAAATTATCGATGTCAAGATTACCAGGAAGGACGACTGCGTTTATTGTTTTGCGGTCGAATATGCTGAAGAGCCTCGGGCTAAGCTGAGATTTAGGCTCGCCCAGTCGTGTTTACGATTTCTACGGCTTTGGCTCCTTTTTCGAACAACCTTCTTCACGCGACCAGGACTATAACTGAAAAAACACCATCCTTTCAGCGAATGCAAAATGAAGGGATGATTGCAGTTTTTTTTAGAGAAATTCAAGGTGAGATTAAGTATGATGTGTAGGAGAGGGGAGAAAAAGGTATTTCGTCTGGGGATCGTCTGTCAGACTCGTCAGTGGGACTGGCAACAGACGATCCCTGTCCCAGACACCTATCATACCGCAATTCGGAACTCCTATAGATTTGAACTCCATGCCGGACGACCGCCAGCGAGAACGCTGATCACCGATCATCTCGCCGCCACCTAGCGGTCCCCGACCCGAACCAAAGGAGTCCGGACAGACGAAATCCTCTCTCCCCTCCACTAAACGCCTACAGATGGAATGTAGTGAGACTGCCGATCGTCGCGTGGAAGGTTTCTCAATGAACACGTCGAACGCCACGTCAGCCGAAAATGGATATCTATCTTTGGTGAAAGATGCATCAGCCAAAGATAGATGGTACATTCAAGAAAAGCTTCAGCCTGTACAAAAACTCGTTCTTGGTGTCAAAGGAAACAGAAAGCATAGGAAGATCCATCAATCCATTGACGATTCCACGTTTGCAATATATAGGAAGTCACAAATAGACAGTGATGAAGCTATTAAAAATGTTCTTTGATGTTTCTTTCGTGGTACCAGTCATAAGGCGATCCCCATAACAGTCAACGAGTTAAAAGATTTCCTTTAAAACATCCCTCCGTCCATTTTTCCCTGTTTTCCATCATCTTCCTACATTTATCTTATTCACTCGACACGTACAAACATCGCCGTATTATTCAGAACACAGTTGCAGTTTTTTCTCTGGATATGTCATTTCTTGGAAAGAAAGAGGGATAATTATCCTGCGGCTATGTAGCTTTTCCCGTGCTACTCGTTCAAACGGGAGACTTCTTTCCGAAGAGTTAGCTAAGTAAAAAGGCGTTTTATGTTACTCGACTGGTTCACTTCGTATTTCACCCTTTCCTGTCTGTCTCTCCGTTCGGCGCCAACTTTTTGCTCGAGCTGTTGCTCCTATAAATAACTAATAACCCGTCTTGATCCCTTTTCGTAATCGGATCTGATCGTTCGAACTGGGTGAAAGAAAAATTAGCTTCGAACTATGTGAAAGAAACCCGTTGAAAGATACACAAAAGTGTTTTTATTCCATCTGGTAAGAAAAATCAACGATGAATGTTAGTCTGTTAATGAATACACACGCTGAGAACGTGGACTAACAAATTATAACATCCGAGTGTCTTTTTCGTTCTCGAACAAAAATGAAGAAGCATGATTGCCAAGAAAAATATAGAGGAAAAATATAGCACAGCTCGCTAATGAATGTTACGAAGTATAACATAAACTCGATTGAAGTTACAGTAACCATGTTACGAGGAACTGAGTCCGGGGGGGGGGGGTGGAAGAAAGTGACACACCCTTTGATAAACTACATTTACCGAGGCTGTGATTGATGATGAGCATGTAGCTGATGAAGCTGACCCAAACGACCCTATTTCCGTCGAACCTCGTTTGCAACTTTCCTCGTAAATCTTGAAACCCTGTTGAAAATGAATTTTTAACCAACACCTCGATTAACCGGTTCGATCAACGAGAAATGAATCTTCCTTCAAAGAAAATCTATTCGATTTGCAGTTAGGTAATTCCTTGATAGCCGTTGAGAAGGATAGGTATTTATAAAATTCCCGAAAAATCTGTAATCGGATGGCAAGGAGTGGCGTCTTCGTCGGCGTCGAAATATTGCTGGCGCCCGGGGGTGATTTTGGCCCTAGACGGCGAAGTTTTCCTTTGGATCCGTCGCGAGAAACGAGCGCGAAAAAAGTGTCGCTGACGGTTGAGAAAGGGAGCCGAATGAATGCAAACCCGTCCTAACAAGCCGGGCTCTTCTTTGTACCCGCAGACATTCATATTCATCGCGACGCGATACAAAAGTTATTCGACCGTCGCGGAACTTCCGCGTACGTAGTTAGCGAAGAACAAGTAGCATTCGCATAAGAAAGAAGTAAGGAGGGAAGATAAGCGAGGAGACGCGGCAACTTTAATGTCCTGCACCCTCGAACCAGGGAGGCTGCTGGCTGCTTTCGTCGGCACAATTAAAACCGCGATCGTGTTACGAAAAGTTTCAAGCAGGCGCGTACCGAGTAATCAGCCGCGTCTGAAATTAAGAAGCTCCGCGCTTTATCGCGACGAAGGGTACTGTTTTCGCGTGAAAATTCCTCTGAAAGGTGGGACACATCGGGCGAACAATTTTGTAACGAAACGATATCAAAGAGCGGAGAAAAATCGTTCCATTTGCCGGGCAAACGAGTAATTCCTTTCCAGTTGGTAGAAGCTGGTAATTTGTTACAGCGTGATGAGCACCGAAACAGAGCCCCTCGGTTCTCGCGATTCCACTCGATATAAATTGTAAACAGAACCGATGAAATTAGCGTCGTTCGATTTCGACTGCCCACCCACCGTCCATCCCTCCGCCTCCTTCGTAATTCCAATTTATTATTTCATCCCCTCCTTCTCCTGATAATACCATCTACCCTCTATTTTCACTCGTTCACGCTTCCATTACGCAACTCGTTGACACGCTTGATTGAATTATACAAAAATATCGAAAGAGCCATTCAGCGGGAAAACCTGATACGCATTCGTTTGACGAGGATTTCAACGATGGAAATTTTATGGGTCACATCCTGCCGAATTCATGATTCCACCGTTCTATCGAGTTATTTTATACTTCGATCTTTTTCCGTGTATATATATATATATACGACTACTCTGCAACGTTCCTTGTTCCGTGTTACCGATTGCACCATTTATACTACTCTATTTCGCGCCATGAATCACCGTACAGAATGGTGAGTTGTATACGTATTCGACTGACACGTATTCTGGAGTAAAAATAAAATCAAACTGAATTGAATCCCGGAGATTTTCAAATGTATTGGCTGTGAAAGACTTGGTTACTCTTGATACCATTTTTGATTTCGAATCTTTGATTGACACGCAGGGGTGTCGGAAAAAGAATATCATCGGATCGAACGGAGACGAATGTTTTTCGTCATCGTGCGTTTGTTTACCAATGATCGATCTCTTCCTCGATACGAATAGGAATCGCATAAATCTGCGCCTAAACCCTGCACCGATATAAACTATAAGCAGAAGCCCGACAGTCCGTGGAATTAGCATTGTCCGATCCGGCCGATAGCGTCCGCCTATAATCTATGACTCGACGACGCTAATGAACGAATAGTTTTTGCCGGATGTGACCCGGTTAAGATTTATGCCGTCATAAATTCGGTGCACAATGCAGTGCGGCTTGCGCCCGATAAAAATCCACTCGCGCCGAGCTGAACGTTAAACGCGTTCGAACATTCATCTCGCGCGCAGCCAAGCCACCCGGTTCTGCCGCACTTTCGAACCGGGCAACGATCGCGCGCGTTGTGCGTGCGGAATCGCCATCGAATCGCCGGAGAAAATGTAGACCGTGGCTATTCTCCACGCGAATAAAAATAATATTTACACGCAACATCCGACGCGGATACTGACACGTTATTTATTCGCCGATTTCTGAATTCATCTCCGCTCGCCATCTCCGTATTTACCAGTAAAGCGGCGAGGCTGACGATTTGCCACTTAGGGAGGCTATACCGTAATGGCTTCCCAGACGGGAACATATTGCAAACGACCGATTCGAGCGAGTAACGGGGCGGGTAAAATTAGTGGCTTGCGTCGAGATTGCGTTAGGAATGTTAAGGGGTCATCAAATGGGCGAGTGACCTCTTTCTATGGATGGGAAAAATGTTTGACTAGTTTCGATTGTTCGAGTGTGCTAATTCGGTTTCATTCAGCTGGAAGGATAAATAAATTTTTCACCTGTCAGAGATTGACAATCGCTCTCGATGGAAGGGTAAATTCTGAGAATATAGCTTCGCGCGGGAACGTGACAGATCGAATGCAATGAAATTGAACAGCTAGTTGGACGATGACAGTTTGTTGGAATCGATTGCTGGAGTCTGCAGCAGTCGATCCAAGTTGGTCGAAGTCGTAAACTAGCAGTACGTGGAAGTTGATCAAAATTATTGAAATCAATCGCAAACTGTTCGTAACGTAATTTGTCGCTGTACTGCTACGTAAATGCAACGATTTTATTGAAAAATAGGTTACCGAATTTCAAAGGGACTGTGAAATGAATTGAACGAAATCATGCGAAGATATTACGCTTTTAAATAGAATCGTGCATTCCTTCTGGCATAAAACCGTGATGGACATTCCGTCGAATCACAAACAGAATAAAATTGAACATCTATTACGAAGCTTATACCCGATTTACTTTCATCAAAGATTAAAGAATATCGATCCGAGCAAAAGTTTACCCTATATGTTTCTACGTTTACTCGGCTAATGCTCATTGGGATAATTTCGCTAATGCTCAATTCGTTCGAACGCGACTCCCTCTTTAAAAGTTTCCAACAGCAATTCAGTCAATTACAATTAAGTTTCGTCGATCGCGGTTACGGTGAATGCGACCAATACTTTCACAGACGTCATCGAACTTCGATGAATTCGCGTTGGTGTTCGCAGATGGTCGAACGAATTGCAATTACCGCGATTCATTTCGTCTTGCACACCAGCGTGAAAAGTAAACCTCGAATCGAGTGTCTTTCAGACATCTACTCTGACGAAGATCAACTTTAACACGAATCTACGAGTAATTAAAACTCTTTAATCACCGTTATCGAAAACTGTTCTTTCGTTGTGCCGTTGAATATCAAACTCGTTCGTATCTCTCGTCACGAGCCATTAAGCAATATAACGACACCGTGGAATCGCGCCAATTGTTCGCGCCCTCGTAAACTGAATCGAAAATAGAGAGAGCATCGTCGTAAAAATTCGCTGAACGAGTTTCCTCGCGGTTCTTTTATATACCGATAGGATCGAATTCAATGTATAGTCAATTACTCGCGATGTACTTAAATCTCTAGTCATTACACGTTTACACACCTGTACACATTCGTGTTAGTTCGTTCTCCCCTTGCGGTTAATTCAGCTAACACCGAAAATCCCGTGAACCACCTATACATTACATTATTACCACCTACGCCTGTCCCTCTATCATTATGCACACGTAAGACGTTGTTGCATCGATACTGTATCCTCCTTCCACGCGGTATAATCATATTATGGGATATCCGACACGCAATGGCTCGTATTACACCATAATTTTCCGCCCACGCGATTCCGGCTGCTTTCGCACATCATCGTCCCCGTGGAAACCGGCCCGTGATCGTTGCATAAATATAAAATATATGTACATAGATGGTAATCGATCGTCTAGCAGCCGCGAGAAGACGTGGATAAACGAGCTGATACCAACCTGCTGGTTCAATATGTCCCACGTTTGAAGAGGCGGTTCAGCTTCTTGGTTGCGCGAGCTGGGCCTCGGTTCCGCGTCCCTTTGCACCAGATAAAGCGGCCTGGATCCACGATGCACGGTTCCTTCGTCCGGCAGAACACCGGCCGCTGACACTGGTTCCTCCATGTGATATTGCCAAACCACTTGCACCGTGTCGTTCTGGAACGTACAAAGAAAATGTTTCTGAAGTCGAATCGAGGCACGTCGAGGTCGACCAAGTACAAGCTTCCCACCACCCCTGTGACGCTGGTCCTTCATTTTTGTTATCGAAAAATATCGATAAGGGCGGTTTACGAAGGCACGAAGGGCCGTCTTTTATACCCGGCTTGGTATAAAAGTCGAAGCCATCGGGTTAGTAAGGGAAGGAGAGAGGGGAATGTAAGATTGTCGGACGGGGGTTGAAATTCTCTCTTTCTCTCCTCGTGCTTTCACGTTCAAATTCCGTAAGAATATTCCCGGAGTCTGTCGTTCGAAGGACCGAGCACTCGACCGAGAATTTTTAATTTAACCCTTTTTATTTCGCAATATCGTTAGCCGCAGGCGAATCGCATATTGCGGCTTCGGTGAGCCCAACGAAAGGGGAAAAAGCGTTCCCGTGTACGTTGCGTTAACCTGTGTCCTATTATCGAAGAATCTCCTCGCTTCCAGGCTAAGCTTCTCCTGTTTTTCTCCCCTGCTCGCTTCCTTCCCTTTATTTTTGGCCACGGCTCAAATCGAGCTGACGTAAGTTGATTAGTGAACGTCGTAATAGAGTAGCGAGCAACACGGAATCGAATAAATCGTACTCGAAGGGTCGCAGCCACGCCTGCCATCAGCGATATTTCCCTTCGACTCGATCGCCTGGAATTTATCACGATTGGATTATACACGGTGTTCATTGAGAAATACAAGTTTAGTAACTCGGCTTCCTAAACACGCCAAGTTTGTTTAACACCTTACCCGACACCCTGTATAGACGAGGCTGAAATTAGATAGGCGTGCATGCAGTCGACCGTCTACCTATCACCACCTACCACCTTCTCCTTGCATACCCCTTTATCAACGCTGTGAAATCGTAGGAAATCAAACTATCGGATCATCGTCGTGGAAATTAATTGATCCGCGAGTTCGATTGCTCTTTGTACAGATTCGATGCGCGAGAAAATTGATTGGCGAAAAGAGGGATCGCCAGACAGACGGTGCTGCGATTCTATTTGATCGAGCGTGCAGACGACAAGAGTTCGTCGATAAATATGTCTCGCTAATCCGACTAGTCGGTCGGTCGATTCCGAATTAAGGATGCCCGACTGGCTTCATTTACGATTCACCTCTTCAGAAGCGGAACTGACGTTATCTCCGTAAAACGCTGTATTTACCTGGTCGTTGGCACCGGTCCAAGCACAAAATACTCTACGTTTAGTTTTATACGACGACCGGCGAAATTAGTACGGAGCACGAGATCGTTGTGGCTTTTTCGATTAAATCCCGTATGAAATCCGTTCGTACGCTAATACGAAATCCTTTGATTTTGCTTTACTTATCCACCTCGCTCCTATATGAAATCCCCTCTACGGTATTTGAAACAGTCAAACGACATTATACTTAAAAGTATCAAGCACGGTTAAACTGTAGATAAAATCGCAAGACGAGGGGTTAAAACTCGCGATTCAATTTAATAATCATGGAAGCTACAGTGAGTTTATAATTCACGACATAATGCAGTAACCAGGAATTTCGAAATTCGTAGAATGATCGAAATGATCAAAATAGTCTACTCGATGAACTGCTGCAACTACATTTGAACCACTTCTCGACTAATTTACATTATTAACGCTTCATCGACCAGAAACGTATTAATAATAGATCAACTGACACCAGTTATTGACTGAAAATCAATTGATACGTCTTTACAACATTTAACTTGTCAGTGTGCTCTATTTTTGTATTACAGAATTATTTAAAAAAAGATGGAGTTGCGAACGAAAATAAGCACTGTTTATTTGACAAACACGCGACTTTTAACGAGTCTCTCGTTAAGCGTAAGCATAAGCTCTTAAAAGCTTTACCTGTGGATTACTTAAACCACCCTTTTCGTTCTGTTCGCGTTTAATAAATATGACAACCAACGGTGTCCAGTTTATTCACGTGGCGTAGCCGAAATTTTCCCACGCGTACGAGGCAAACAATCCGAAGCATTTTCATGGAGGAAAGTTTTACGTACAGGCATGCCTCAGGGATCAATTCCGCATCCTGTGTACCGATAATCTGTGTCCGTGCTCCCGCATCACCGGCACCCTCGCCAAAGAAGGGACACGCGCGACACTAGGGTGGCCCTCACCGTTCTATACAATAATACTGGCAACGGTATTCCTATCCACTGGTCGTGGTCGACCTCGAAACATGTATATCGATCCGCGTTATGTGCCAAACGCGTTCTGCCCTCGACCACTCACAATTTGGAACAATCACACTTGATTGGAGCATTGGCCAGATGCAGTCACGTTAATGTTTCATTCGACCAGCGGACCCTCTCTTTATCAGCTGTTCCCAAACTAATTACAATGATCAGATTTGTCGTCTCGATTCTCCTTTGTCGATCAATCCGCCCAACAGAAGTATCATCGACTCGTTGCTTTCAGTTTAATCAGTTTTGCGCCAGCGAAAGAAAAATGTTACTCCACGTTCTGCTGCGTTATCGAATTTACAAAACTTCCTGGTCTACTTATAGAAGTCGAGCAAATCTGATAAGATTGGCTTGAATTCTTGTCGGAAACTCGCACGATGTTGCAGAGATTTACAGATCTCGTTGAATCTCTTACATTCTATCCACTTTTTCTACTCTTTGTACGGTGAATTTCTATTAACGCTGCAAAATATCCTCGAATGACGGTAGTTTCTTTGAATACCTATTCGCACAGTAGTCCATTAGTATTCCACGAACACCTATCGCCTCGAATTATCCTCTTATCGTTTTATAACGACGGATAAGGCTGCACCGGGAGCAGTTTAACGGTAACGGGGGAACCGTGCGCTGTCAGAGAAAAGTCGACGATCTCGCGGAAAATCGCGCATCGGTCTCGTAATTTTACAGACGAACCGTAGAATCACGCGGTCGTCGGATCGAGGGAATCGCCGAATTCGCAAGCAGCTCACGCGTCGCCCGTTCGCGTTCTTCTGTAATCGTTGATCGCGTCAAAGATCGAGGATTCGTGAAAACGGATCTCGATCGATATCCACCGCCTACGTTCGTTCCAGTCGAGACAATCGGGCGCCATTTACCTGAATTGGATTAGGTTGGCATATCCGCGTACAGTCAGCTGGACGACCTAGATCCGGAAAGATCGAAAGATTCCGGCCGCTCGAAGAGATGGAAGCTCGATAGGAGGAAATGGGCATCGCGTGAGAGGCCAGGACGGAATCGCGCGATCTGACGCTATCGGACGAGTCCCGGGGAGTCTCTTTTGACGACGTCATACAGAGCCACCGTTGTTCGAGGTCTCTTTCTTTGTGCAGGCCCGACGCGAGCTGATCATTAAGAAAATTAAACGCGTCGCATAAGACGGTACGATCGATAGAAGGACGCTTTGAATCGACCATTTCCCTGGAAGCAGACGAGCTTCCTTCGCGGAAACAATGCTCCTGAAATCGTGAAAGTTTCAACAAAAATTGTCCATCTCGTGACGGTTTATCGATAAGACGAGACGAGGAAAATATAGGGATATTTGGTTCGAAAAAGTTTGATCATTTCATTGGTGGAAAGTTTCATTAAAATGAGGGTCCAGATCGAAAGGTAATACCGTTTCGAACGGTTCACTGTCAATAGAGGGTGGATCGGAACGCGGCACTTTGCGAGAAACAACGAGAGATTAGGGGAGAAATGGAGAGCAATTCCCGTGGACAGAAAGCAAAGGAGAGGAAAGACTACGAGGATTCCCGGTTAAGTGGAAATATCTTTCCTCTGTTGGAAACGTTATTCTTCATTAAGAAACTTTGTTGTTCTTCGCTCTTGAAACGTAGAAATCTCTCCTTTCTTCCGGCGTTTTCTCCCCTTCGTTCTTATCCCAATATCCTTGACCGTGCGTCCGTCTTCCGAGAGCTCGTAGCCCGAGATTATCCTTTCGCAAAGTCGTTCGATCCGAGGGATGATATTCTATTTCGAAAGTTAAAGATGTCAATCGCCAGGCGAACAAAACGATCCTCGACTTCCTTCACGAGTCGTATCACAAAAGATTCAGCTCGCCCTTAACGTCGTCAAAGAGGACGAAGGGTGGATTGAAAATGACTTGTATTTCTGCACGGGACACCGTAGTAAATGCTTCGATTTAATTGCTGAACGCCGCGGCGTCGATGGGCCAGCAACGATGAATCGAGAATCACAAAGGGGTCTCGAATCGAGGCGATACGAGTGGAAGGAGATTAGTAGGAAGCCCGAATACCGTAGTGGATCGCGAGAACCAGCCCTTTGTCAAAGCGAATCGTTTGGTTCCGTGTAAAGTTCGTTTGTTTCCCTTTCTTCGCTCCTCCCTTTCCATTTTCCACGTTCTTTGCGCCGCGCCTCTCGTACCGGAAACCTGCCGATTAAACGTTCGCCACGCTGTTCGAATGTTAGAAGGCGTGCTCCAATTCCAAAGACGAGAGATATCGGATGCTCGCGCGAGCAAACGACTCGTTTCAACCAATAGAGTTCCTCTGAAAAAGCTGGTCTTTACTCAGACCATTCTCGAAACTGGTTGAATCGAAAAGTCGAGGGAAAAAAGTAGAAAAAATTTCGTTCTCGCACCTGTTCCATAAATTCGAACGGGCATTTCCCTTGACTAAAAAGGATCGTTCAATTGTACAGATAAAAGTGTAGATTGGATTTTTATGTGAAATAATATCTATTGCGAAACAATTTCTGACCGTGCAAGACTGAAAGGATCATTTCATCGTCGGGTTCTCTTTTGAATGTAAAACCATTCAAACGTTTACCATAAAAGTTTAATCGATTCGGTCAGTCGATCGAGAGAACATTTTCTCGCGCGAATTCCACGACCAATTCCGCGGGATTGATGGTCGACCAACGTTCGACAAATCGTTCCATGGATCAGTAGTCGTGGTCGTGTTCCCGTGGACCTGTGCAACATGGTCATCGCCACGAGACAAAACTTTGTCGAAAGCAATAAAAGTGTACAGGGTAGTCT